TGGCCACTTGCCAGTAAATCACTGAAGTTACAGCATATCCTCTCAACATACACAAAAATAAAGACCTAAACATAAGACATGACACCATAAAACTCCTACAAGAGATCATAGGCAAAACATTCTCTCACATAAACTGTCAATGTTTTCTTAGGTCAGTCTCCCAAGGCAACAGAAATAAAAACAAATTTGCACAGCAATGGAAACAAACCACAAACAAAATGAAAAGACAGCCTACAGAACGGGGGAAAATATTTGGAAATGATGTGACCAAGTAGGGGCTTAATTTCCAAAATATGCAAATAGCTTATACAACTCAGCGACAAAAAAAAACAAACAACCCAACTGAAAAATGGAGAGCAGACCTAAATAGACATTTCTACAAAGAAGAAACAAAGGCTTCCCAGGTGGCTCAGTAAAGTACCCACCTGCAATGCAGGAGACACAGGTTCAATCTCTGGATCGGGAAGATCGCCTGGAGAAGGAATGGCAACCCACTCCAGTATTCTTGCCTGGGAAATCCTATGACAGAGGAGCCTGGTGGGCTACAGTCCATGAGAGGGTCACAAAGAGTCAGACACGACTTAGGGACTGAACAACAAAGGTATCCTCAGGATATACGCAGCAGTGTCCATACTAGGTGCTACAGGATAAACCTAACTCAACTCCCAGGAGGGTCAATTTTACACAAATATTTTTGAAAAGAGATTTGACTTCTAGACAAAACAGTTTTACATGCTAATAAGTGCTGGGGACACTTCAGATTCTTCCATCCTCTCAAATTAGAGAATCAACATTGGACTAGATGCAGAAATCTCATCTTCATGATGAGGATATGATGGTTACCATTTAAGGAGCACTCACTGTATGCTAGACATCATAGTTACAGTTTACATACATTAACTCATTCAGTCCTCATAACAACATCAGATAATAGTAATAATACTATTGTTTCCATTATACAGAGGACGAAACTAAGATTTTAAAAAGTGGAAAAAGTTTCCTGTACTCACCCAGCTAGTAAATAGCATAGCTGGTGTCTGGTCTCAGGGCTGTCTGGGCTCCAAAGCCTGTGACCTTGATTGCTACCTCAGAAATTTGAAACTGAGGCAAAGGAACCCTCATCAGTCTTGAACTGGAAGAGCCTTAAATAAGTCACATATCTTTTGGTCCCTCCAGTTTTTCTCAGCTATAAAATTAGGACAGTTCCCATCCCTTCCATCATCATAACATGGATCCGAAAGCTTAAGAGATATATATCATAGGATTCTATTTATAGAGCTGGAAAGAAACTTGGTCATACAAACACCTGAATATGAATGTTTATGGCAGCCTTATTTATAAGAGCCAAAAAGTGGAAACAACCCAAATGTCCATTTATTAATGAATCAATAAACAAAATGTGTTGCATCCATGCAATAGAATATTCTTCAGCCATAAAAATGAGGTTTTGATATACGCTACAATGTGGGTATACCTTGAAAACATTAAACTAAGGGAAAGAAGTCAGCCACAGAAGGTCACATATGTATGATTCTATTTACAAGAAATGTCTAGAATAGACAAACCCATCGAGATAAAAAGTAGATTAATGGTTTTCAGGTGTCAGGATGTGGGATGGGGGTTAGGAGGAACAAGGAATTACTGTTAATTGGCACAAGCTTCCTTTTTTGAGAGGTGTGAGATGTTCTATAATTAGATAGTGGTGATGGTGAAACTGTACACTGTTAAAAAGCAAATATTATGGTATATGAATCCTATTCAACAAACAAACATTAAAAAAAAATGGAGGCCATAGCAGCAAAGGAAATACATTTTAAAATACTTTGGACAAAAAAAAATACTTTGGACAAATAAATCAACTATACTTCAATTTAAAAAAACTCTGGACAAAAGCATCACGGAAATAGCAACACATTTTAGATATCATACATTTCATGCTTATAAAAACACATTATTTACTCTGTAAGAAAAGCACGGCCTTCTACTACTTTCTCTGGTTGTTAACTTGTCCTAAGAGAATCTTAATTCACTTCAAAGTACTCCACTCCTCTAGTTCCTGAATACTCAGTTAATAAAATGATAATAAAATGCAATCTAAACTGGCTGCTGATGGAAACCCAAGGGGCTTGGCCTGCTTAAAGAGAGAAAGGAAAAAAGCCACAAAACTCACCAAGGGCCTACCTTCAAGGCCAGAGAAGATAACAAGAATCTAGATCTAGCAGAAATGTTATCCTCCCATATTCTTCTGGGAACCATTTATCAGAATTTTCTACAGAAAAATTAGGCAGAGGAACCTCAACTATAAAAGTACTACCTTAGTAAAATAACCATCAACACTGAAACAAATTCTTAACTTCATATTCTGCTTAACATAAACACATTATCTCACTTCAATTTCAACAGTACTCGCATTAGGTACAACTTTTTACCCCCATTTCAAAGATAAGGAGAGGGAGTCATAAACAAGGTCACCCAGTAAAGCAGCAGAGTCAAGATTCAACGTGCATCTGAATTCTAAGTTCAGGGCTCTCCCTATGTCATGTTAAAACTTGCTTTCTCCCACCACCTATCTTTCACCAGATCAAAAAGCAGAGTTGAGGCGGCTTCTGCTCATGTCACTTTGTAACATGAACTCAGCTCCCAAGAAACAATTTCCTCTTAAACTGTTCTGGTTTGTTGTATCCCTTTCATAAGTCTCCATAAGAAACATTAATTCAGAATAAGTATTAAATGTTTTTGAACAAATAAATCAATCTGGCCAAGCCGACCTGGTTAATCTTTAAGGAGAGAACTTCCCTGGTTGTCCAGGGGTCCCAGCCAATGCCGGGAACACCGGTTCAATTCCTGGTCCAAGAACTAAGATCACACACGCTGCAGAGCAACCAAGCCCTCACGCCATAACGACTGCAGTCTGCACATCCTGGAGCCCATGCTCTGCAGCCAGAGAAGCCAGCACAATGAGAAGCCCGAGCGCCGAAGGTAGAGTAGCCGCTGCTCGCCGCAGCCAGAGAAAGCCCACGCAGCAACCAAGACCCAGAACAGCCATAAATCAATAGTTTAAAAAAATTTTCATGAATGATGGATGAAGGCTCAAAAACCTATAAAATCTTAAAAGGATAGAGATTCCCTTCCCAGTTGCTGAAAAAGGTTTTAGAACTGACTCTGAAAGGCTCCTGAGCTGGCCCTGTAATGACTTCCTGAAGAACTGTCCGGCCCTTCCTTTCCAGCCAATCAAATGGCGATCTGATTCCCTAGAGAGAAACGTGCAGGCAGCTCCACCACCACCTGAATTCTCACCTTCACATACATCCTGAGAGCTCCTGTGACTAGCTCTTTCCCAAGTTTTTGGCATCTCTCTCCTTGGGTCTCTCCCCTGCCCCCTCTACCCGCCAGCACCCTTAGGGTTCCACCTCTCCTCCTTCCTCTCCCTTTCTCTGCTGGTAGCAGAGAAAAGTACTTTGTACTTCCTGGTGAGGCACGAGGTTTGGACCAGTCTCAGGGTCCCCATGACCCTGGAGGAGGGCACAGCAACCTTCCAGTATTGCTCCCACAATACTCCAGTGTTCTTGCCTGGAGAATCCCCATGGACAGAGGAGCCTGGCGGGCTACAGCCCACGGGGTTTCGAAGAGTCAGACACGACTGAGCGACTAAGCACAGCACAAGGTGCTCATGAGAAGCAACTAAGACACAACCTAGTGAAATAACTCCACATGCTGCTCTAGCTGAGCCTCTCCCAGAGACCTAAGCACCAAACACTAACCATTTGGACAAGGGCATGGATAAAGACAGATTTCTCCTGAGAACATCTGTGCTTAGGGATGCGATCAGAGTAGTTCTTTTTTCCTCTAATACGAGTAACAACTCATTTTATTTTCAATACATAAGAAGGCATGAGGTATAAAAGTAAATCCAGCTCTTAATTTTCAAAAGTAAGTGGCTTTAGAGACCAGGGCATTAACAACATTGCTGCATTTGTTAAAAGGTGTGCTCATATTTAAGTTAGATTTCCACCTACTCAGCTCTCATACTCCTTCTTTGCACTGATTTTACAATCTTGACTTTGGTTAATTAATACTTCTATGACACCACACTATAAAGGTACAAATAAAGAACTTCTATTTAATGTAGAAATAAAGAGAACACATTTTATATATACAGCTACACATACCTCCTTTCATATTTAAGTAATAAGAAATGTGCATTCACAATGAAAATCATTTGCTCTAGAGATTTTCCGTAAGCTTTCAGTTTAAAGATGGCACCATTTGGACTTCCCTGGTGGTCCAGTGGTTAAGAATCCACCTGCCAATTCAGAGTACATGGGTTCAATCCCTGGTCCAGAAGATTACACATGCCATGGAGCAACTAAGCCCGAATGTCATGACTACTGAGCCCACGGGTTGCAACTACTGAAGCCTGCACACCCAGAGCCCATGCTCCACAACAAGAGAAACCTGCACACTGCAGCTGGAGAGTAGCCCCTGCTCGCTGAAACTAGAGAAAGTCCGAGCACAGCAACCAAGACCCAAGGAAGCCAAAAATAAATTAATTTTTAAAAAAAGAAAAGAAAAATGGCAAATGTATTTTTTTTAAAAGATGGCACCATTTAATAGCTGAACTAAATACATTAACATAATTTTACCAGTGACAGGCTTTCTCTAGGTAAAAGAATCACAGACTTGTAGCGCTATAAGGAACATCAAATCATTAAGCAAACTCTTAGATTTTAAAAATGAGAAGACTCCCAAGTTTGCCAAAAGCTCACAGTTAGCCAGTGACAAGCAAGGGTCTTTGCTCCTGACGCCTAGTTCACCACAGCTGAAATTCTTAGAGGTGAAAAACACTTCATTTACTGGTATCAATACCAAAGGCAACAAAAACGAGATTTACTCTTACCATATATATGTTGACATCAAACAGAAGCTCTGTTTTAACTTTTAGTGTTTTATACCATAAATTCTTTTTTTCTAATACCATAAGTTCTTAACTCATGACTCACCCTGCTGAGTTGGTCCAATAACCTTTGGTTCTGTTCTGATAACTCCTGGACAGCCCGTGTTTTCTCTCGATCTGCTTCCCGTAGATGAACCTGCTGCCTCTCCAACTCATCCTGAAGCTGCTTCACATCACTCTCCAGCTCAGACACACGCCCTTCCCACTCGCCTTCTCGGTTCTCAAATCGTCTTCTTAGTTCGTGTTTCTCTTGTTCTAAGTGCTGGGTGAAAATGAAGAGAATTTTTAAACTGTCAAAAATTACAGAGTCATTCATTTTTTTCTCTTTTCATACACTTCTAACTTTTCTTTTTCCTAGTCAGTCAGCACAACAGAACAATCTGCCCCGTAGGACAAGTTGCCCATTTCACAGATGCAAAAATATCCCTTTCTGCCAGAGTAAGGAAGGCTAACTTCACAAAGAGAACCCCATTCCTACCGAAATACTTAATGTTATTATGTTTATTCCTGTTCTTGGGCATGGGGGTTCCAGACTTAGGAACTCACCTGAAATTTAGTAAGTCGTCTATTAATCGGTGAAATATACATTTAAGCAACTTAAAACAAGCCCTTAAGAAAGCTTCTTTTGTTGTCATCTGTTATGCTTAGCATAATACCAGGCACTTAGAATTTTCAGAGACAGAAAGGACTTCAGAAATCCTCCAGATCAACTACCTCTTCTTAAAATGAAGCAACAGAAGAGATTCTGCAACCAGCATAAGGTCTGTTCTAGCAAATGGGAGAGCTTGGATTGGGGTCTCCCTCACTTGACTGTTTAATGTTCTAAATCACAACTCAATAAACATTTGCTGCTATATAAAGCACTGCATTTCAAAATCATTAAGGCAAGTTCAGGCCTACATTTATTAAATTATAGCCTACGATCCTTGCATATTTATTTCTGATTCATTCATTCTTGAGTGCCTGTTATAGGTTAGCCACTGAAATAATGTTGAACAAAAGAGACTTGGTTTTTCCCTTTATGGAGTTTCCACTCTAGTGAGAGGTTGATAAAAGTATTATGTTGTACAGTGTGACAAATGGTATACAGGAAAAGTACAGATGGTTTGAAGGAGCAACAACAGAAAAGAGTTCTTTTTGGATTGAAGGAAATAAAAACATCTTTTTGTTTCTGTAAGATAAATACGAATGCCTCGTCTCAGAGTCAAGTATGTTTTCCTACTTAAAAAGCAGAGGATGAGGACTTCACTGGTGGCCCAGTCGTTAAGAATCCACCTTGCAATACAGGCAGATGTGGGTTCAATCCCTGGTCCAGGAACTAAGATCCCACATGCCTCGGAGTGGAGCAACTAAGTCTCCGTGACACACTGACTAAGCTGTCCCACAACCAGAGGCCACGCAACATAACACAACACAACACAGCACAACACAGCAAAACACAACACAACACAGCACAGCACAACACAACACAATGCAAGGCAGCACAGCACAACATAACACAGCACAACACAGCACAGCACAGCACAACACAACGCAAGGCAGCACAGCACAACATAACACAGCACAGCACAGCGCAGCACAGCACAACACAGCACAGCACAGCACAACACAACACAACACAGCACAGCACAGCACAACACAGGACCCCGCCTGCTGCAACTAAGGCCCGACGCAGCCAGACAAATAAATAGATTTAAAAAATAAACAACAAAAAAAGCACACCAAGTACAAGAAAACCAAGTAAATACCTCAGAGTATAAGAGATGCATGTGAGAAGTAAAGCAATGGTCCTCAGCTTTTGCTGTCAGAAAATCTCTGGTATAATTGTTCAAAATATATCCACCTAAACACTGATTCCAGACTGTGCTTCAGTAAAGAATGGGATGAGGCCTAGGAAGGCATCTGTCTATCTACCCATTCATCTATTTAGGTTCTATTGGAAATTCTGATGCACTAAAGGCTGACTATCAAGCACTGAGACTGTTTCAACAAGCTAAGATGGGCATTTGCATCTTTTCCTTCAATGTACTCAGACATCTTTTCACCTTGTGAATCTACACTCTTATTCTATCCAAGTTCTCACCTTTCATATGTTTTTTAGGATGCCTCTTTTGGAAAGCCTTAAGGGGCAGTGTATAGTTATACAAGAAAATCAGTCTCATTATTTCACATCTGAGTTGTGCCTAAAAAAAGATTTTTCTCTCAAGGGAGGGACTTGTACTTCTCAGCATGAAAATTTTCTGCTCTGTGCTTCCCTCATTTTGCTAAACTTCCAAAAATGAGGATGTTTTAGTCACTATACAAACTCAGAAAGATGAGATGCAGAAGTAAATGGTAATTACAATTCTAAAATTGTGATACTTGGATTTATTGAGTTATTCAAAAATGGAAAAGACTGAGCAGAAGGCAACAGCAAGAACTCAGTAATCACAGTATTACTGAGAGGCCAGATAAATTAGGCTTGTGTTCTAAAAGAACAGAGAGACTTAAAAATATTCAGCAAACAGCTGTTAGTGAACAGCCCAACTAAGCGACTAAAACAATCTAATCCACGTGCAGGGAGTGAGGCAGGGTTGAGGACAAGTGGTGCTGATCAGTCTATTCTGTCCTTACATTTCTTCCTAATTCAGGTTTCCCAACACTCTGGGGGAAAAACTCAAGATCTTCCTATTAATGAACATACAGAACTTAGCCTTCTGTCTATTCTGAGAAAAGAAAGATTTCTCCTAGAATTACATTTTCAGTGAAGTGCTAAATTAACCAGTAAACTCTAGGAAGAATATCAGAAAGTGTAGTGGTCAGGCTCTGTCCATGTTATTCCCTGCTTCTTGGGGTTAAACTGTAGTTTAAAAGGTAGTATCTACACCTGAAACTAATATAATGCTGTATGTCAGTTATACCTCAATAAGAAAAAAGCTAATGTCAAAACTGTCAAGGTCATCAAAAACAAGAGAAGTCTAAGAAACTGATACAGACAAAAAGAGACTAAGAAGATACAGAAACTAAATGTAAGGGTATCATGAAACAGAACAAGACATTTGGCAAAGGCTAAAAAAATCTACATGCTCAGTCATGTCTGACGCTTTGCGACCCCATGGACTATACAGTTCATGGAATTCTCTAGGCCAGAATACTGGAGTGGGTAGCCTTTCCCTTCTCCAGGGGATCTTCCCAACCCAGGGATCGAACCCAGGTCTCCCACATGGCAGGCAGATTCTTTACCAGCTGAGCCACAAGAGAAGCCCAAAGAAATCTAATTAAACTAAATGAAAAAGTTAAAGTGTTAGTCGTTCAGTCGTTTTGGACTCTTTGCAAGCCCAGGGACTGTACCTGCCAGGCTCCTGTGTCCATGGAAATCTCCAGGCAAGAATACTGGGCTGGGTAGCCATTCCCTTCTCCAGGGGATCTTCCCGACCCAGGGATGGAACCCAGGTTTCCTGCATTGTTGGCAGAGTCTTCACCATCTGAGCCACCAAAATAGCCTCATAGCTAATAATAATGTATTAGTATTGGTTTACTAATTATGGCAAGTACTGGGGCAGGGCATATGGAAACTCTGTCCTATCTTTCCAACTTTTCTGTAAATGTAAAACCATTCTAAAAACAGTTTATTTAAAACTCTGAAGAATTGAGAATCATTAGCTCACCTAAAATTGGTTGTTACAGAAATGGACTTCTGCCACGAACCAAAAAAGCATATTATTCTCGTAAGTCCAGGATATGGTTCTTGAACAATACAAAGAAAAAAAATACGATTTAAGTGGATCAAGCACTGAATGCAAATAAGGACTCCTGCATTTGCTTATCTAAATCTACTACCCAATTATGTAATCATTTTCACCTTACTTAAAAAAAAAAAAAGTTTAACAAGAACATTTCTTCTTTTTTTTGGGGGGGGGGCCCATATAGAACAGTATGTGGAACTTCCCCAACCAGGGATCAAACCCGGACCCCTGTGTTGGCAGACAGATTCTTAACCACTGGGCCACCAGGAAAGTCCCACCATACTTGTTTTGCCTCTTAAAAAAATTTAAAAAAGTAGTGCTAGAACCATTAGAATTGGCCTAGGGAAGAGGGAAGAAAATGTAACCTAGGGAAGAGATTACCTCTGCATTAAGAGAGAATTCACTCTCACCTGGAATGGGGGAAGAAAGAGAATCCTGAACTTTAAAAACGTATTTTTAAAAAACTAAATAAAGATTAAATCTCTGAAGAAAAAAGTGTATAAATTTAAGTTAGTGCTTTAGATCATAGCATACATAACATAAAATTTATCACCTTATCCATTTTTAAGTGTAATGTTAGTTCAGTAGCCCTAAGTCCATTCATACTGTTGTGCAACCAACATCCAGAAATTAAAAATAAACCTTTAACACTTGAATTCATATGCTGACCTGAGAGGAGTGAAGATTTTTAAAAATATGTTAGTAAGAGTTTTAAACTATTTTAATGTTGTCTATCAACTCAATAGCAAAAAGTAAAATGTAATTTATTCTTCTACAATATGACCTTTCTTGTTATAGAACTTGAAAATCTTTTTCCTTTGGTGAAGACATGTATAAAGGTTCCAAGTGGAACCCAGGATGTGCTTAACTACATATTCAGGATTACCCTTGAAAACTATCACTCATGAAACCAACTGATATGATGTTCCTTTCAAGACAGCTGTCTCTTTAATCAAGTCTCTCACTGAAGGGATTTCAAATCACAAGCATACATGTCTGCAGTAGTACTTCTATTTAGAGTCTGTAATCTAATCTCTTTTTCAAAAAAAGACACCCTTTTAGTCTGAGACATCTACTTCAAGTGGAAATCAAACAATTCAATTCACTGGGTTGCTTTTTGGCAATCTATATATAGGTTTCACAAACCACTTTTCAGAGAGGTATCTCAGGATCGACTGGCAGACCTAGTTAACAGGCCAACTTAAATACAGGGCACTCACTGGTTTCCTTTTTTTCCTCTCTTACTTATTTTTGATATGTCGCTGGACTACAGACATACTTACTAGAGAAAAGTTTCTGAATCTACACTCTGACCATTTGACCAGTAGCAGTGATATGGAACCAGACAACGGTCAATTTCAAACTTTATTCAGGGCTGTACTATTCTCTTGTAACAAGAATAAAAAGAACTCATTGCCACCAAACTGGGAGACAATATTAAATGCATAGACAGAAAAAGATAAGCTCAACGCCACTGCCACAGATGCACCTCCCCATCTTCACTTAAGAAAAAAAGACTCAAAATTTTTTTAGAAGTGGTAGCCACTTGTATCAGTTTCAAGGCCCTTTTCTAGTTAAGGGCAAGAAAACAGAAGCAAAACACTTTGGTCCAGAGAATTGGCAGAAATCTTACAGATATTTTAACGGGTATGTATAACAATGGTTAAAGTTATATGGTTCTCACAAGTTGTGTTTGGCCATCTAACTGCATGTGTGAGACCCAGAAGAGAAACAAAAGTACTGTTTAAATATACTGAAGTCCAAATCAAATCACAACCGTCACATGTTGAGCCCAGGCTCACCTGATTTCTGCAGTGGAACCATATTTCCTAATCCGTGAGTATTTGAAGGCTATATAAAGCTCCTTTAGGGGCACTTGTTTCCCACCATTCTGAGCTGAGGGGAAGTTAAGACAAGGGCATGTGGAAGCCCTTAACGCCAAAGCTAAAAAGCTTTAAGCTAACACCCTGATTAGCGATTAACTACCTCTCTGAAAGCCTGGAGCGTATTTTAAACGCTTCCCGACTCTGTAATTCCTGTGTGCAGACATCACCTCAGTGCTGTATAAACTAGTTATACTGTAACCTCTATTTTGGATGCTGTGTACAGTACCTGTGTAGAACGACCCACAGCGTCTGGGGCCGTGCATGGACCCCTTTGCTGTGAGCAGGGTAGGAAAACCAGGTGTGTTCAAGAATACCCTCGTCTGATAACCCCAAACCCTCCATGCTACCCACCTCCCAGGTGGTTTTCTGTTAAGACAGGATAGGCAAGAAAGGAGTGGGGTGAGGTGGGTGAGTGCCTGGCTCCCGAAGCTACCCAGGGCCGGCGGGCGGGTACCTGGGCTCCCCCCACCCCCGCTTCCCACCTATCCCAGGAGGGACGTCCTCACCTCCAGCTTATCTGTTAGTTCCTTGTGCATCTGTTCGTACTGCCGGCTCATGTCCTGATTTCTCTCGAGCAATGCCTTGCCCAGTCGGGCCGCCAAGACCAGATCCTTCTCCTTCTGCCGGATCACTGACAGCAGCTCGGGATCCTGGGCGGGCGGTGGCTGCAGTCCGGCCGCCTCGGCTGGAGGCCCGGGCTCGGCCTGAGGATGCTCCCCGGGCTCGGACGGCCGTTCCCCAGCCGCCAGCAGCGCCAGCTCCTCCTCTAACGCCAGTTCCAACTCCCCGGGGCCCCCGGGGAAGGAGATGAGGGCAGCGGCGGTGGCGGCGGCTGGATTCCCGACTGCGTCCGCGGCCGCGGCGGGCAGCTCCATGCAGCAGGCGCTGTCCGGCTCGGCGGGTGCTGAAGCGCGGCCGGCCAAGCCCAGGCAGAAGGCGGACATGGCCCGCGCGCGCCGAGCCCGCAGCGGTGCGGCCCGGCCGGCGCGCGCCAGGCTGCAGGGGGGAGGGGCCCCGCCGCGCCGCGCCGCCCCGCGCCCCGCGCCTCGCCTCACGCCGCGGCACGCGCCCCTCGGGTCTCCGCAAGCCCTGGGCGCGGCGCGCGCCGGCCCGCCCCTCCCCCGCGCCGGCGGCACGCGCCCCCTCCCCCCGCCCCCGGGCTCAGCTGCTCGGCGCGCGCCGGGGAGGAGGAGGACGGGGGGTGGCAAAGGGAAGGCTGAGGGAGGGAAGACTGCAGGGACGCGAAGCGGGAGGGGAGGTTGCGGGGAGGAAAGCCGCTGCCGGGTTTTCAGCCACCCTGTTGCTGCTGCTCCCGCTGCCGCCGCCGGCCGGGCAGCGCCTCACGGGGCGGGCTGCGCTCCGCTGTCGCTGCGACGCTCGCTGCTGCTGCCGGCGGCCGCTCTCTGCAGCCGCGCTCCATGTCCTTCGGCTCGGCGGCAGCCCCAGCAGCAGCAGCGGCGGCGACGGCGGCTGCTGCAGGCGCCGAGGCGGCGGCTCCACATCGCGCGCCGCGCGGCCGGGCGAGCTCCTTCCTGCCTGCCTCAGCTCCCTCCCGTTCCACCGGGCCGGCGGCGCCGCGCCCCGCCCCGGGCTTCCGGCCGCGCCCCCTCTTCCCGCCCCTTGCCGGCGCCTGACGCGCACGGGCACCTGTTCGCCGCGCCCGCGCGCGATTCGCCGGTTCGTGGGTCTCCTCAGCGGCGCCCAGGTGGCGCCGGCAGCCTTAACCCCTGCGCTGCCTCACGCCCAGGGGAGGCTGCATGCGCAGCCCGCGAAGACGGCCGGCTCATCCCTAACGGTCCGGGCGGCTCCTCGGCGTGGCCACGCCCCCGGCCTCGCGTCCACCTCCCGGTGTGTCTCCGCCCCCGGCACGCTCACCTCGGGGTGTGGCCTCGTGCGCACCTCCGAGCACGGCCCCGCCCCCAGCCTCGTTCTCACCTAGAGGCCGGGCCCCGCCCTCGACCTCTCTCGGGATTCTGGACTGGGGAGCTTCTCTGGGTGCGATGGGTCTCAGTCTTAGGTGGTAGGTCTCCAAAGGGGACTGAGGACGTTTCTGCAAGACGGGTGTCTAAGCCCGACGGAGACTTGCAGCCACGGACTGTGGGTCTGAGCCCCCGCGAGAGCTAAGCAGTCAGGAGAGGGAGCCCTAGAAAGCAGAAGGGACGACTTCAGAAATCCAGCATCTCAGGGATGATGACTCAGGGATATAAGGAACTAGAAGCCTCAGAGATCAGCTGCCCCGAAAGAAAAGGGTGCTGTTGAGAAATAACGGGGAAAAAAGCTCACAAATGGGCATGTGAAGCAAAGACCCTCCCTAATAACTTCCGTTTATTAGCCTCTTAGTGTGTGCCATGTCTTGTGCTTTATACGCATTATCTTCGATAATCCTCACAAGAATCTTAAAAGTCAGCACTGTCCAAAACAGAAAAAGAGACTCCTATGTATAGAACAGACTTGTGGACTCTGGGAGAAGGCGAGGGTGGGATGTTTCAAGAGAACAGCATTGAAACACGTATATTATCTAGGGTGAAACAGTTCACCAGCCCAGGTTGGGTGCATGAGACAAGTGCTCGGGCCTGGTGCACTGGGAAGACCCAGAGGGATTGGGTGGAGAGGGAGGTGGGAGGGGGGACCGGGATGGGGAATACATGTAAAAAAAAAAAAAGATACACTATGGTTGTGATAAAAAAATAAATTAATTAATTTAAAAAAAAAAGTCAGCACTGTCACTCTTCTCATTTTACAGAGAAGGAAACTGAGGCCCTGAGAGATACAGAATCAGATCTAGGCAGGCTGACTCCAGGGTTCACGTATATACCATTATTCTTTACTTTCCTCACGTACAAGTCTTGAGGAAGATAAGTAGTAATTTGTGACCAAGATGGCCTCGGTCAGTATCCACGGTTCTATCAGGAAAGCTTCCTGCAATGATCAAATCAAGGACCGAAGAGCCTAATGGGTGATTCCAGTCAGTTCTTGCTTTGACCTCATTGGTGATGCTCTGTCTCCTGTTTTCAGAAACAACCCCATCTGAGGCTAGAATTTGTCCTTGTTCTTTCTTCTTATGGACAACAATCCACTTTTGAGTTAGATCACAGTTTGATCCTTTTCATCACAGTGAGATGGAATATTTCAGGACACCAATTGGCTGAAATGAGTCAAATGGTTCCTCATGGCTTTTTCTCCTTATTAAAGTCAAAGCCTAAACAAAAGTCAGGTACATACATCACTTCCTACCTTCCAACTGAAGGTGTGAATCCTGAAGGTCCTGAGATTCGGGGATGACTCTGTTCTCTAGTTGATTGAGAAGGAGACAGACCATAGAGGGGTTCACACATCTTAGAACCAAGTTTTGAAAGTTGACGGTGGTATCATTCCAACAATGCATTGTTCTAGCACTTTTTATTATGCCCCCTTGAGCAGAAATCATGGGTCCATGGTGAGACCCAACTGCAAATCCCTTTTGTCTTTTTTGATCAGGAAAGAAGCTACTCCTGTAAATAGATTGGGACACATATATCAAAAGCAAACAGAATCCTAATCAAAAGGGGTTTCAGCTATTTATTTTTCCTTGAAGCAGACTTGCAGCCTCTCTCTCCCCAGAGGTCTTTGTCTTGCCTTCCTTAAGCTCAGTGGTCCTACTCTATTAGACTTGCCTGTTACTGTGAGAATGAACTTTTACAATGCTAGCTCTCATTTCTGAAGCACCTTCCTCACAATGTTCCCCTGCCTAACCTGACTAGGAAGCAATCATTTTCTACTACAGCTTTGACTAAAGTACTATCTTCCTGTGAATAGTCAAAGGAGACCAGCCCAAGTTTGGAGAACTATTTAGAATAGTGGTTCTTACCCTTTTTGTTCTCAGAACCTCTTTACACTCTTAAAAATCATTGAAGATATCAAAAATCTTTAGTTTACATTGGCTTAGATATTGATATTTACTGTATTAAAATTAAAACTGAAAAAATTTTAATTGATTTTACTTATAATAAACCTATTAAATGTTAACATAATATAGTTAATAAAAGATATACATTCCCAAGTTTTTTTTTTAAGCTTTTTATTTTGTACTGGGGTATAGCCAATTAACAATGTTGTGATAGTTTCAGGTGAACAGCAAAGGGACTCAGCCATTCATATGTGTGTATCCATTCTCACCCAAACTTCCCTCCCATCAAGGCAATTCCCAAATTTAAAAAATGAGCAAGAGGAATGGCATTATTTTTCATTTTTATAAAATCTCTTTAATGTTTGACTAACAGTAGAAAATGGATTTTTATATCTGCCTCTCCATTCAATGTAGTGATGTTTGTTTTAGTTGAAATATATGAAGAATTGCTCTTGGTTACTAAGCCTTGCATTTTTATCATTTTTATATTCCTTTATAATATATTTGCATCACTGTTGCTTTTGGTACCTGGATATTCTGGTGAACTTAGGTAAGACCAATCTTAACCTGCCATGGATGGATTTTCACATAAAAGTGCTGCCACATCCCTAAGAGCAAAGCATGAAATAGTCTTTCTTAGGAATCCTGATATTTCCAAATGTAATAACACTCATTAAATTTCCTCAAGTTATTTATTTTTATTAGCCTCCTGATCTGCAAAAACGGGAAAGTGTAGAAGACAAAACATCCCAGAAAATTTGTTTTTGAAAAGTCAAGTGTGGAAGAAATATGAGGAACTGGCAAAACATGTGATAAAGCAGTTCTACACTTGGTATTTTCATTCAGCAATTATAAGTGTGTATGCATTTTTTTAAGTTTTATATTTTATTTATGAACTAGTAGTGAGAACATAAAATTCTCAAAAATTCCTAAAATGTTACCCAAAAGCTTTTTCTATTTTTTGGAGATGAATTGACTCAACATTTTGCAAAATGTGGTATGTGTACCTCTAGGGATTCTCAATGTGATTTTTAAGGGAAAAACATTTAGTGGCTGATGCTCAGCAGCATCAGTCTTTAGCAGGTGCGATGCCCAGCCTGGTGTAGGAGTGAGCTTTCTCTGCTACCTGTCACTGTGCCCCAGCTCACCTTGCTGGGACCTCCTACCCAGCCTGTCTCATTGCTAGGTTCTTATCTTGGCAGCCCCCTCACATTGTTTCCCTTCACCCTCCCAGGGTCCTCTCTGGGGCCTCAACCCCACCTCACACTCCCTGTCCCCCTTTTCCCTCAGCTTGTTATTAAAAAGATTTCATAAACGTACAGCACTTAAAATGGCACCTGGCACGTGGTAGGCACAGTGTGGGTGCTTGATAGATAAATAATGCATAAAATAACTGAGCACAGAGAATTCCCTGGTAGTCCAGTGGTTAGGACTCCATGCTTCCACTGCAGGGAGTGTTGGTTCAGACCCCTATTTGGGGAACTAAGATCCTGCATGTTGTGTGGTGAGGCGAAAAAAAAAAGTCTGTGTGCTTTTACATATATATATATTTACTTACGTGGCTGCGCCAAGTCTTTGTGGCATGAGGGATCTTTTAGTAGTGGCATGTGGAATCCAATTCCCAGACTAGGGATTGAACCCTGGTTCCCTGCTCTGGGAGTCTTAGCTACTGGACCACCAGGGAAGTCCCTGTATGCTTTTTATTATCACTACGAGATGGTGATTCTAAACAATGTCGGTGGCAACAACTCTCACCTCCCTCCTTGGCATCCCACTGACAGTATTTGACAAAACTGATCAAGGAACCCTTCATGACTTTGGCCCTTAAAGGACATAGGGGACTCCATGGGCAAAGATGAAAGGCAAGTAGACAGAACCACTTCTCCAAAGACACAGGAGGCAGAAAGTTGTGTTGGAGAAGAACCAAGGAGGGAGAATGAAGTTGTAAAGGTAAAGACAGGCTGGCATTGACTTGCAGAAGAAGGAAAGATGCCATTTACTGAGTGCCTACTGTGAGAGGCCAAAGGGTTAGCTTACGTTATCTTGCTTAAATTTCACAATCACCTTTCCAGATGGGTATTATCATCTCCATTTTATAGATGTGGAAACAGGTTCTGAGAGGGTCAGGGTCTTGCCCTGCAACTAGTAAAGGGCAGAGTTGGTATGTGAGCAGAGTTCAGATTGCTTATAAAACCTGTGGTCTTTCCACCTATGTAGCCTTGAATGCTAACCCCAAGACAACAGAGGGCTATTGGTGATTTTAAAATTGTGAAGTGACCTGAATAAAGCTGTAGCTCAGGAAGACCCACCTGGCGTTGGTGTTAAGGACGAGCTCGTGGTGGGAGCTGGGAACCAGCGAGAACAGTTAAGATGCAGCTGGAAGAGTCTACATGAAAGGGATGAAAGAAATAGGGAAATACAGAAGAGAAGTCAGAGAGGTTATAAAGAAAGAACTGCTAGGGGGGCTTCCCTGGTGGTTCAGTGGTAAAGAATCCACCTGCCAATGCAGGAGACACGGGTTCGATCCCTGGTGAGGAAAGACCCCACATGCTGCAGAACAACTAAGCCCATGTGCCACTGCTATTGAGCCTGGGCCCTAGAGCCCATGCTCCATAACAGGGGAAGCCACCACAATGAGAAACCTGCGCACTGCAGCTAGAGTAACCCACGGTGGCCGCAACTAGAGAAATGCCCACACAGCAGCAGAAACCCAGCACAGCCAGAAATAAATAAAGTCTAAAAAATAATAACAAAAAAGAACTGCTAGGATTGGGAGACTGATTGGAGATTAGGGAGTGTGAGTGTGGAAAAAGGAGGGTGCAGAAATGCCTCTGAGGTTACTGACTGGGGCAACAGAATGATGGTGCTATTGCCAAAAACAAGAAAGCCAGAAAAAAAGAGAATCCCACAATCAGGCCCTTGGATTTGGCTGTGGCCGAGGACGTCTGGCCTGTACAGGGAAGTAAGAGAAGCATGTAGTCAGCATAAACACAGCAGTTGTAAGAGTGAGTTGTGGAGATGTTGGTCAGGAATTGTATCAGTGGGCTTGAAAATGAAGCGATTCCTCAACTGAAAGAAACCTTCTTAAAGAAAGCTACACTGGATGGAAGAGAAGGGCTAGGGTACTGGACAGGAGGAAAAGGCTTGTTCCCAGTGGTTGGAAAAGGATTAGTCAAGGCCAGGTGACAGGAAACAGCTCCATGCCTGTGGGAATGGAAGCGCCTCTCATTTACTGGACCACTATGGCCACAGGTGGAGAGACCCTTTTCCCCATCTTCCCCAATTCCCATCTGGAAGCAAAGAGCACTGGACTTCTCTTCTCGACTGCCCACTCCACCCATTCAGCCCCAGTCTAGTAAAGGAAAGGATTAGGGAGAGAAGCAGGCCTCCTGATGGGTTTAGAAAATAATTGCATAGGAGAAAGCCGTATGCAGGTTTCATTATACATTTGCATTTAGAAAAACCAAGAATTTGCAAAGGCTTATATTCAAGGAGGCATATAAAATCACCCAATTAAAAGAAAAGAAGATGGCAAAGACTCAAAAACTGGTTACAGAAGTTAAGTTAATTGAAGAAAAGCCAAGTAATACGTCAAATGTATAAATCTGCATTTCCCTGGGGTCTCAGTTGAGTGATTCGGCTTTTTTTTAGTAAGTGGGTCAGAAAACTGCTAATCCTATAACGATTTTCTTCAGCGGCATTCGGCTGGTACATATGTTTCTTGCAGATCTTTAGGAAAAAAAAAACAAGTATGTTAAGATTGCTAAAGTTGTTGTTAACCCAATATAAATTTCCTTATTTATCCACCATGAACAGTATATTTATTTTCTTGATTGAAAGTCGGTCCTTTTAATTGGCAGGTAGTGACAGTGTTGTTTGTGGTTTTACTTTGAAGTGTTTTGTGTTGCACAACTCTACCATATTGCTGATATAGCGAGACTGTATCATAGTCTCAAACAGAATGACAGGCAATAAGACAAACCACTGCACTGCATGAAGATAGGTATAGAAGCTGATACACTGGTTTTGTGGAGACAGTGCAGGTTTAAAAACACAAGTCATGAGTCAGCATGAAAGAGCTTTTTTTTTTTTCAGTTCTGGTAAAATTCACATAACATAAAAATTACCATTTTGACCATGTTTAATTGTATAGTTCAAAAGCATTTAATACATCATAGTGCTGTGCAACCATCATTACCGTCCAACCATAGAACTCTTTTCATATTGCAAAACTGAAACTCTGTACCCATCAAAAACTAACTCCCCATTCCCTTCTCTCCTCAGCCTTTTGGGAACTGCCACTGCACCTTCTATCTCTATGAATTTGACAATTCTAGGTAACTCATACAAGTGGGGTCAGACAGGGTATGTCCCTTTCGTGAGCTCCTTCTTTCACTTTAGCATAATGTCCTCAAGGTTCATCCATGGGTAGCAAAGACCAAATAACATTCCATCATTTGTATATGCCACATTTTGTTTACCCCTTCCTTCATTAGTTGGCAGATGGGTTGCTTCCACCTTTGGGCTATTGTGAATAATTCTGCTATGGACATGAGCGTACAAACATCTCTTCAAGTTCCTGCTTTCATTTCTTTAGAGCATTATCCAGAAGTGGAATTGCCAGATCATATGGTAATCCTATTTTTAATTTTTTGAGGAACTGTCATACTGTTTTCCACATTGATGGGAGAGCTATTTTTAAGTCATCTGTCATTGAGATGTACTTATTCATTCTTTCACTCTCCTTTCAACAAATATTACTGAGGACTTTCCTCATATAATGATTGAGCCAGGCTCTGTGAAGTTTATAAACAAGACTTATCTGGTGGTATAAAAGAGATCTATGATATAAATATGGGGCTTTCCAGGTGGCTCAGTGGTAAAGAATCTGCCTGCCAAGCAGGAAACACAATTTCGATCCCTGGGTCTGGAAGATCCCCTGGTAAAGGAAATGGCAACCCACTCCTGTATTCTTGCCTGGGAAATCCCATGGACAGAGAAGCCTGGGAAGCTACAGTCCATGGGGCCACAAAGAGACAGACACACAACTTAAGAGACTGAACAACAACAATATGAAATAAATATACCAAATGTACCAAAATAGAGAGATACAGTGACTTCTAAGCCAGAGAAAGCCTTGAATTCAGGGTTTCAACACAATTTAAAAAAACATCCATCAGAAGAGAAGTTGGTCTATTTGAAAGCATAGAGAAAAGAGCATCACAGAAATAAATATGGAGAGTCCTATTCAAATATGGTTCAGCAATGGACTTAGAGTATTATTGAGTCATTGGCAAGACAGGCAGAGTGCGTCTCAAAAACCAAACCAAGGAATGCTCTTTTAGCTCATGCATCTAATTCTCTTTGTTTTAGTTATATGCTCTTTAATCTGTGATCTGATTGTAATCTGCTTTTTGTGCCTATATAGGGAGAGTGCTTTTAGGTATGTGAACCTCAGCATCGTGGTCTTTGAGAGCTTACATTTCTCATTGTAAATCAATAATTTGGCATCCTGGCTTTCAACGTTAGATTTAATAATCTGAATTAACGTGAGTCCAATTCTAAAATACAAACCTACTCTTGATGTGCTGGCAAAGGTCAGATTTCTGAGCCTTTTAGACAATAGACCAGGGACAGGTCATAGATGCCTCTGAACCCTGGTTTACCTACTTGAAAATGAAGTTTTAAAATGATGTTTATCCAATAGGTCAAGACACAGAAACAACCTAAATGTCCATCAACAGATGAATGGATAGAAAAGATGTGGTACATATATACAATGGAGTATTACTCAGCCATAAAAAGGAAACAATGCCATTTGCAACAACATAGATGGATCTAGAGGTTATCATACTAAGTGAAGTCAGTCAGACAGAGAAAGATACTATATGATATCATTTATATGTGGAATCTAAAATATAACACAAATGAACCTATCTATAAAATAGAAACAGACTCTCAGACATAGAGAACAGACCTACGGAGTTGCCCATGGGGAGAGGCAGTGGAAGAGGGATGGATTGGGAGTTTGGGATTAGCAGATGCAAGCCCCTATATATGAAATAGATAAACAGCAAGGTCCTACTGCATAGCATAGGGAATTCTATTCAATATCCCATGGTAAACTGAATCACTTTGCTGTACTGCAGAAATTAACATAATACTGTAAATCAACTATACTTCAATAAAAAAAATAGTGCTTACATTGTGGAGTTGTTGATCAAATGTTGATCTTGTTATCGATGGGAAATTCTCCAAGGCATGACTACTGCATGAGTTTTTTCGGTAGACAAAGTCTGACCTCATGGAGCACATTTGTTTCTTTTCGGTTGGAATCTGCACAACTCGTATTCTCAAAGCACAAGCCAATTTGTGAGGGGTTTATTTGAATTATCTATTCTTACCTCTTCCTTTGGTGCCCCTCCCTCTGTTTCCATGCACCCCACACTCCCAGGATTTTATGCTCTGGCAAGACAAAGCCAGCACCCCCACAGGCAGTACCCCATGCTCTGGCCGTCACATAACCCAACTTGCATGTTCATAAGGACTGGTCACTACAGCCAATATAAGAACTTGATTGATGCTGGTGAAGTCACAACTGATAATGACAATGTTTTAACATCCAAAGGAATGCTCTCAAATTGTAGAATTTAATTGACTGAAAATGGCCAATAGGGAAAAAATAAAACTTTCAGTTGAATTAGGCATGTTCGGTGCCACCTCTCAAGTCGACAATTTTCTCCACTGTCCTTTTAAAGAATTCTGGGCCATTACAGCAAGAAAACTTTTGCTCTTGTGTGAATTCAAGGGGTTTTATGAGATTTATAGGACTTTGGGTGAGACCAGGGAAATTCTTGCACTAAATTAGGGGTTTTCAGGTGTGAGTGAGCTGCTGAATAGTAAGTATAAGGTAGTTTGGGATAGGTACAGAAGAATAACATGAAATGGAGCTGGTCTGAGCCTAGGACATTATTTCTTTTGGAGCAAACTAGGCTT